GCTCTGAGTGGGCGTGGCCAGCTTCCTGGATCTTTATATTATTATTAAAGGCTTGGTGCATGACGTTTGTGCACTGGGTGGGTGTCCCTCAGCCCAGCCTGTGCCCTCTCGCAGTCCGGGAGCTCTTGGGGGATGTCTGACTAATGGCTTAGGTCTGCTCTCCAAGGGCTAAGCCAGCAGTAGGACATCCTTAGCGCTGCCGTGGAGGTGGGAGAGGATCCCGCCACCGCCGCTGCACTCACCAGCCATGAGCTTCCGGCTTCTGGCTGAGCGGTGGTCCCCCTGTGGGAGCGCACTGACCACCAGGGGGCAGCTCCTGCATTGAGCGTCTGCCCCCTGGTGGTCAGTGCAGTCATAGCAACCGGTGATTCTGCCGTTCGGTCGATTTGCATATTAGGGTTTTATTATATAGGATCATTATCAGTATCATCACTTGCAGGTGAGGCGTGTACCTGTTGGCTCCTAACAGGTGGCCAGAACTGCTGCATGTGTGTGTGAGTGGCTGTGAGAGAGGTTTGGTATTCCAGCAAATAGTGTTTCTCCTTCTTCTTCTTCTTCTTCTTCTTCTTCTTCTTCTTCTCCTTCTTCTTCTTCTTCTTCTTCTTCTTCTTCTTCTTCTTCTTCTTCTTCTTCTTCTTCTTCTTCTCCTTCTCCTTCTCCTTCTCCTTCTCCTTCTCCTCCTCCTTCTCCTTCTCCTTCAATTATCAAGCTTCAATTCTGAGAGGATGGGACCAGAACACCTGTTGTTCTGAGTAACAGGCCATGGGGCAGGTGGAGATTCTAAGTCGGCCTTGTTAGAATACTTTGGGTCCCGGTGGGCGTGGCCAGTTGCTCTGGGTTTCTGATTGGGTGGTCCCTCAGCCTTTCATGTTTGTCTCCGGTGAATAGGAACCGCCCATTTAGAAAGAAAGCTCAGCTAGCTTCCAATGCTGGGCGCACAGGCTGGCATGGACCGGCTGGTGGGCGTGTCCTTGCCTCTAAGACCCGCCCCCTCCCCCCTTGCCCCCCCTCCAGGATCGCCTGTATTTTGTGATGGAGTATGTCACCGGGGGCGACTTGATGTACCACATTCAGCAGCTGGGCAAGTTTAAGGAGCCCCATGCAGCGTGAGTCTTGGCCAAGGTGAGGGTGGAGGGAAGATGGAAGGCTTGGGGGGGGGTCCAGCCATTGACCTCTGACCCCGCCCCCTCCTCCAGGTTCTACGCCGCAGAAATCGCCATCGGCCTCTTCTTCCTTCACAATCAGGGCATCATCTACCGGTGAGCAGCCCCAGGCCTTTCCATGGAGGGGGGGTCAGGCCCCTAGAGGGGAAGGGATTTGGACCGAGGGCTCTAGCCCATTGAACTCCATTCCTGCTCACCCCACCCGCACCACAGGGACCTGAAACTGGACAACGTGATGCTGGATGCCGAGGGACACATCAAAATCACCGACTTCGGCATGTGTAAGGAGAACGTCTTCCCCGGGAACACGACCCGCACCTTCTGCGGGACCCCAGACTACATAGCCCCCGAGGTAACCCGAACTCCGCTGCCCTGGGCGCCGTCCAAGTCCGCTGAGCTGGTGGGGCTGGTTGTCTAGTATTCATAATGGGGGGGACTTGACCCTGGGGTCTTTAAA